ATTCTTCTACATTTTTTAATGTCCTAACTATTGGAAAACCTCCCTATTAAATATCTTGGAATACATCTACTCAAAGGCAGAACTAGACAAATACATTTCCAAGATGTCATAATATATTTCCCGGATGTCATTCAGCAGATCAAAGCACAACTTGAACATTGGACTAACTCTTTCCTCTCTAATGGTGGGAGGATCACTGTTTGAAGGATTATTCTCACTGCAATGCCTGCTTATGTCCTACAAATGCTCTCTATGCAAAAGGGTACTCAAGACTATATTTGAAGAATCTTCAATAAATTTCTCTGGTCTGGTCAAAGAAAGCAATTTCAGTGGCTCCCTTGACAGAAATTATGTAAACCATTACAAGCTGGTGGGCTGGGCTTTAAAGACTTCCAACACTTGGGTTTCATTAATCTTTGCAAATTATGGACAAATTATGGATCAGATTCAATCTTTGCAAATTATGGATCAGATTCAGGTCCTAGGATAGCCTTTGGGCAAGATTTCTAAAAGAGAAATACTACAGATCTTTGCACCCTATTTTGGTATCCAAAAGGATAGGGGATTCCAAACTATGGACAAAACTGCTGAAAATCAGAAATAAAGCTAAGGAACTCTTCCTTTGGGAGCTCTTTCCTTTGGGAGCTAGGAGATGGGCATATCAATTTTTTGTTAGATAACTGAGGTCAGCAATGGAGAGAAACTTGAGTGCCTCAACCCCAATCCCAACACTAATTGTCTAGTCAGAGATTTTTGGCCTGATACTCAGTGGAATTGCAGACTGATGAACACTATTCTTTCCAATGAACATGTGAGGTGGGTTAAGGATACTCTCATCTCATCCATTTGCAAAGACAAATTAATCACAAAACAGGCTTACTCTCAGAAATTTTCATCCTACATTTATCATCATTTCTTTAATTGGAACCTGATACCTTGTGGTAAAGCCATTTGGGTTAAATTCCTAACTCCCTCTATGTCCTTTTTTTGCTGGAGACTCTGACACTCCTTACTGCCGCCCCTTCCTGCCGACTGATGACATTTTAAAGATGAAAGGGCTTAGAGGACCTTCAATCTTCCCACTTTGCTGTGCTGCTGAAGAAAACTTGGATCACCTATTTTTCTCGTGTGCCCTCTCACAAAAAATTTGGTCAGGTTTAATCAAGCTCCTGAATATTAATAGTCAGAATCTAAGCTGGCTTAAATTTTCTACTAGCTGGGAAGATTGGCATAACAGCAACCTTTGGGTGATACCATGTATTGTGGCTTAGTTCATATGGATGTACAGAAACCATAAAAAATTTGATGAGAAGTTTACGGAGTCAAAATCTGTGATTATTAATTGTATCTCTTATATTCAGAAATTGATCAAGTTTCATCACTTTCCCAATGTTATAAAGCACTGAACTCCAGGAAACAATACTCCTATTCTTCAGCCTTTCAAACTAATCCTTTGGAGTCCTCCCCCTACTGGTTGGTTGAAGGCCAACACTGATGGAAGCTTCTCAAATGGTTGTGCTGGTATTGGGGGAATCTTCAGGAACTCTTATGTTTCTCCCATTAAATATTCCACTGCTCCTGCTGTGGCAATGGATGCTCTGGAGGCAAAATTCATAGATATATACTAGGCCATCAGAATTGCTTCTTACTGCCATATGGGTCCTTTGAACATAGAAACAAATTCTACTAATTGCATTAAAATCCTCCTTCATGATGAAACCTCCTTGGAATATAACGAGATGGAACAATTTGTTATTAGGCTTACTAACCAGAGACAAGATCAATAATATCAATTATATTCCTAATATTCCTAGAGAGGGTAATTGTCTTGCTCATTGGCTTGCCTCCGAGGGTATAAATACTGAACAAAATTTTGTTGGGCTGACACTTGCACCTGAATTAAAATTTCTGCTCAATGGAGACAATTTGGCACACCCTTATATCAAATGTATGTAACTGCTATGGGAGGTAGACCCTTGGGGGAAGGTATTGAATCACATAGTGTTAGACTTTATTGCTGGTCTTTGTGTGTCATATCTGTTTATGTGTTCATACTCATGTGTTCCCTAGTTCATTTTTGGTGCGGCGGTGGACTTTATCTTGTTTTGATTTCTTAATTTTAGTTTTGGTTTTAGTTTTATGGCTATCCTAAAAGCTTCAGTTTTGACATGAAGGGTGACCTTGTTGTTTAACATGCAAGTTTATAAGCAGAAAACAAGAGGTACAGAAAGGTAAATAAAAGAAAATTGCAATGCAAATGTTGATTCTTCCCGTTCCCCCACCTGAAAGATTAGTGCTTGCAATGCATATATATATATATTAAGGGAAGGAGCATTATACGGCTCCCTACATGTTAATCATCGAGAAACATTACAAAGGACTGAAAAAGGAAACTAAAGGTCCTCAGTCTAGAAGCCAAAATACAAAAAAACTCACACCTAAAATATATATATCTGTGTGTGTGTGTGTGCGTGCGCGCGCGCGCACTAAAAAAGTAAGACAAAGAAAACTAAGAAACATAAGGGGAGGTAGTAGAGGGGTGTTGACGTCCTCTAGTATGGGGGGAAAAGTTTCCTTAGAGATGTTAACCTTCGTTCTGAGATGTGGAACCTCCATGGTATCACCATGAAGTAGGAGGGCTAATGGAGTGGAGGGCCTAGTTGCAACAAATATCAAATTTGAATGGAGACCTTGTCTGGCTAACCAGTTGGCAGGTTGGTTTCCCTCCCTAAAAATAAAAATCATGGTGAGGCAGAGAGAGTTCTTAATAGTTTTGATCATCTGTCTCCAGTGTGTGTGATGCCAAAAGGATTGGTCTTCAGATTCCACGAAATTCATGAGTAATAGGGAGTCAACCTCTAGCCAAATATTATATCATTCAACAGTTTTAGCAAAGGTTAAGGCCCAGAAGACTGTAATATGTTCAGCTTCAAGAGCATCTATAGCTTTAGTGGGGGCATAAAAAAATAGAAGACACCTGCTGGAGGAATCTCTAAAAACTCCCCCCACCTCAGCACCCCAATTAGTGAAACTGCCATAAGTATTGATTTTGATAATTGATTTTGAAAGGCTCCCTAGTTTTAGTGATCTTGAGCTTGCAGATATTAGGGAAATTTTGGTATTGAATCAGCTTGGTTAAATAAAAGACACAATTTCTGATGACTTTCTGATGTGCTGAATATCTTTGCCCTCATGCTTAGTGCTTTTTCTAGCCAACCAAAGGAACCAAGCCACAATGAAAGGAATGGGGATAGATTTGCTTCCTTCCCAGCACTGCCAACCATCAATAAGATTAGACCAATTCAGTTCAATACCATTCACAGTGAACATATGCAAAAGACCTGACCAGACAGCTTGTGCAAACCTACAACTGAAAAAAATATGATTGAGGGTTTCCTCATTTCATAACGAAAGATGGCATCTTGAAGGGCCCCTCAACCACTTTAGTTTGAGGATGTCATCAGTAGGTAGGAGATTATGAAAGAGTCTCCAGCAGAAAAAGGACATAGATGGGGAAAGGGAACTATTCCAAATTACTCCCCCCAAGGAACCAAGTCCCAGCGGTAAAGCTTGGGATAAAAAGCCTTGGAAAGGCTTTGATTGATGTGACTATGCCATATAATTTTGTGTTTTCTTCTCTTATCAAATTTGATTTTGATTATTTGACTGAGGAAAGGTTCCTGAAGATTGGATTGGAGTTTGAGTAAAGACCACCAATGGTCACCCTCCCAAAAATCAGCAACAGTGAGATGAGGGTTGAAATTTGATGGTGGAGTGCCAAGCCAGTCTTTGGGACACCATTGATCCAACCAAAAATTGACCTTACCCTCCCCCAGTTCCCACCAGCTCCCAGATGTACATCTATTCAGCATGGTGTCTAACTTTTAGCATGTTGACCTAGAATCCCCCAATTTCCTATAAATTAAAAGGAGGGGTGTTTATCCTTACAATATTTACCCATCATGAATCTAGCCCAAAGAGAGGTTTGAGCTCTAAAATTAATTCACATTTTGCAAAAATTTATCTGAATAATTTGTTGTAGCCCTTTGAACTTTCTATCCCCAGCCAAAATGGGTTTAGCAGCCTTTTACCAAGAAGCCCAGTGAAGTTGATGTCTTTGACCAACCCAGAAAAGTCTTTTAAAAGCTCTCTCCGGCTAAATTTGCGTTCTTTTTCAGCAAACTAGATAAATCATGAGGGGAAAGTGGTGAGAATGCTTTTAAGTAAGGTTATCCTACCCCCATTAGAGAGAAAGAGTGAGACCAGTTTGATAAGTGTGATTGAATTTTCTGAAAAATTTCATCAAATTGAATCAGCTTGGATCTGCCACATATAAGATTAAATCCCAAATATTTAATGGGAAGTTTAGCAAAAGAGAAATTGGTGTAATCTGAAATCCACTGCTTGCACTGAGAGGGTGTTTACTTGTTGAAGATCAATTGGCATTTTGAAGGACTAAAACCATACCAGAGAATTAGGTGAGACAATGCCAAGTTAGACTTATGATGATATCTGGAGTAGTGTTGAGAGAGGATAGCCTTATCCAACATTCCGGAGAACTAATCCATTGCTAATATAAAGATGGTGGGGGAGAGGGGGTCACCTTGCTTTAAACTTCTAGCAACTGAGAAGGAGCCCCAAGCCTTCCCATTGATGAGAATGGAGTGGTTATTATTGAGAAGCCATTTCTGTATGAGATTAAAGAAGTTAGGATGAAAGCCCTTAGCTACAAGAATACCCAAAATAAAGGTCCAATCTGTGGTATCATAAGCTTTTTTGATACCTAGCTTGTAGATCAAATTGCGACCCTTACTGATTTTATTCAGATCCAACGACATCTCCTGAGCCAGCAAAACATTATATGTAATGGATATCCCCTTGATAAAAGTGGTTTGATTATGGCTGATAAGATTGTCTAGGTGGGGTTGAATTCTTCTTACAATAATTTTACTGATCAACTTACTGATGACTGAAGTTAGATAAATTGGCCTATAGTAATCCTAGGTCTTATGTAGATCATTTTTGGTAATGAGCACAAAGGATGAGTTTTTAAAATAGCTGAGTAAGTTATTGCCGTTGAAAAAGCTGATAATTGCCTTAGTCACATCCAACTTAATGATATACCATGACGTTTTGTAAGAATCTACAGTATAGCCATTTGGGCCTGCAGCCTTAGAGATTTCAATAGTACTCAGGGCATTCCAAATTTTAGTTTTAAAAGGGTGTTCAGAGAGTTTGAGACTGTTGTTAAATTCAAAATCTTTAGTGAAAAAGTTAATAGCAATGTTGGTGTTTAGACCAAGAGTAGAATTCAATAAGGTTTGATAAAATTTGACTGCATCCATGGCATTGCTTGCATTGTTATTCAGTAAGCATCCCTCAACATTTTGAATATAGTGAATTGCATTGCATCTCCTTTTGTAACTGATATAGGAATGGTAAAATTTAGTATTTCTGTCACCTTCAGTAAAAATGTTAATGGAGGCCTTCTGTTTGAGAAGAAGTTCTTGGTGTTCAATGGCTGTATTTAAACAGGTTTGAGCAGTGAGCAAGATAGCATTATCAGCATTACCATTTTGGATAGCAAACTCAAGTTCCTCAACATCCTTTTCAGTAGCAGTCACTTTGGAAAACACATTTCCAAAAGTATCCCATCCCCACTTTCTAAGGGATTTGCTAAGATTTATGTGTATAAGGCTGAGTTTAACAAGAGGGTTAGGGAGATCAGAACCACGCCAATTAGATGTCACACAGTTGACAATTTGAGGATGTGTGGACCACATATTTAAATATCTGAAAGGGGTATGTTGTGCTAGGTGGCAAGGAGAGGTGATTGTAACAAGTAAAGGTCTATGATCAGACCTTGCAAGAGTTAAATGAGTTAAATGGAACTAGTGGTCATTAACGAGGATTTTGTCAAGTCTTTCCCAATGCTTTCCCCTCTTCCAAGTGAAATGTGGGCCTTTATAACCTAAATTAAAAAGACCAGCTTGTTGAATATGATCACTAAAAAAGTCATCTTAGGCATACTAGGAACCCTGCCCCCAGATTTCTTTGCAGTAGAAGTGTTATTGTTGAAATATCTCCCACCCCTCCCTCACCAGCCAAGGGGAGCTCATATTGTTACTGATTATCTGAAGATTCCTCTAAATCTCTTTCTTATCCTCCTTGTGACAGCCAACATAAATTAATTTTTCAAACTCCACTTTGCCTTGGATCAGAAGAGAAATATGAATAAATTTAGGGTGGTCCAACTGAATAATCCATTAAATTTCCTTTCTATAAAATAGCCAAATCTTGTTATTGTTATTAGCATAATGTAAAAAGGAGGAGAAATTACTAATGAACCTCTGAGGGATGTGATGAGCCATGGGTTCAAAGATAGCAAGGCACCAAAGTTTGTATTTCTTGTTAAGATAAATTACTCTTGTTGGGGAATGAGTGTGGGCAATGCCCCCTGATATTCCAACAAACTAGATTAATAATGAGGGGGGTTAATATGGAGGGAGGGTTGAGATCTTGATCTGGTCCTTCATCTAGTACGGGAGGGCCCAACCTTCATCTTTCCACCTAAGTCCATAGTATTCCCAAGTTGTAGTCTCTGAACTTCTGAAACTGATTTCTTTTTCTTTTTAGATTTCTTTGTGTACCATTCCTCTTCGAACATGAGCTCCATATCAACAATTTTCCCATTGTTAGGGGCTGTCAAAACCTTCGTTGTATTGTCATTCTCCTCCATAAGAGAAACATCGGAGGATAATGAGGTAATGATAGTGGCTTCATTAGCCTCCTCTTTTATGATCCTAGGAGAGTATTAGACCCAAAAGGAGCTATGGAACTCTTAGAGGTATCCAACAAATTTTCCTCAATGTGCACCGGGTAGGTTCTACCCCTTGAGAATTAATAGTAGGCTCTTGAACAGCAGGCAAATTATCAGTAGGCTCCTGAACAATAGGCAAGGTAGCAATTGTGTTAATGTTTTTAGTTTTCCTTGAAGGAGGGTGAAGCTTAAAGAACATGTACCTGGAATACCAAAACATTTTATAATGATGACAGTAATATGGTCTTTGCTCTACCACTACCTGTTGCCAGAACCCCTCTGATGCGTTTGATTTCAGGTAGAGTAACATCTCCTTCAATAAGGATTCTTTCCAAGCCAAATTTGGGCTTGCTAAAAGTGGGGGCATCAACCTTCAGAGGCCTCCCCAAAGCACATCCAATATTAAAAAGAGCATTTAGATTGAAATAGGGAAGATGAAGTCCAGGAAATTTAAACCAAATAGGAACCACAGGGGGCTGCTTACTTAGGTCAAAATCAGGATACCATTTCATAATTCTCATAGTGGTACCTCCAATTTGTAGAGACTGTTTAGTAAAAAATCTAGCATAGTCTTCCTCATCAGAAAGCTAGATAAGAAGATGTCTGCCATCTAATAGACCAATTTGCCAATCTCCTATAAAATTTAGTGAAGCAAAATGGCTTCTGACCAACTCTATCTTTGGGTATCCTAGCTGGAATTTACTAACTAAAGTAAATTTCACTTTCTCATTCAAGTTATTGATTTCCTATTAAGAGACGTATATGGATGGTTCACCCTCTTTGGAGCCTAGAGGGTGAATACAAGGGCTTGTACCCTTCCCAACCACAGTGTCATGAAAATCTTGAGGAAAGACTAGTTGCTCAGGATCCATTAGGAGTTCAGCTGATTTGCCCACCAATCTAGCATAAGTTGCTTTAGTCCATTGGGCATTGGTTTCAACATCCAAAAGAGTGGCCATAAGGAGAAGATAGGAGAGATTCAACCACAAAAGACACAACCAACCCACCAAAATCCAAACTTCTAAGCCCGAGAAGTGCCAAACAAAAAACAATCCATGCAAACTCCACTCAACTCACAAAAAGTGGAAGCAAACTTCCACCAAATGAGAAGTGAAACAGAAGAAGCACTTTAAGAAAACCAGTCAGCAGTTAATGGAACAGTAAATCCACAAAGTTTCAAAACTAGAGGTAAAAACTAGAAAGAAGACTCTTCAAAGGTAAACAAAGCTGGAAAAAGAAACTTAAGAAGCTTCCCAGTTCCTCCACACACAGACTAGCTTCTGCAAATCTTCATCTTGCCTGAAACCCTAGCAAAGCCCCAACCTTAGCCGCCATCATGATAGAATACATACATACATATATATATATATATATATATATATATATTATCAACGCTATTTTTGTGTTGGAGGATGATCTCATATTTTTCATAGTTTAAATGAAAGAGCAATGTACCTCTAATCATGTATCTATCCCGAAGGATAAACATAAGACTTGAGGATGAGACTTGATCAAATAAACTAAGAAATATATGACATTCGCTTGGTCTACAAATCCTTTATATTTGCTAACAAGTTCCACTATTTAATATAAGGAATTAAATAGGATTTATATTAAGATGGGTTCAGACATGCTTCCTATAATGGCAAACCCCTATAGTTAAGAACATCTTAAATGACCAAAGTCACCTAAGAAGACTCTCGATAAAAATCAAGAAATCTTATCTTCAAGGAGTTTTAAAGGGTAGGACTTTCAATGAGATCAAACGTAGAGGTGTGAAAGGGGATTGGTTAAAATTTGGAACATTTTATTGTAGAGTCCAAAGGAGGAAGAACTAGGGGATGCCATGGATCCAAAGGAGAACCCCGTTGACTTCCCAAGTTATCCTAATGTTTCACTTCATTTTTAAGTAGAAATATTAAGGTGTTTCATCCTTCTAATTTTATTAGTTTGGGCTTACATTTGTGTGAAACTATCACACAAATAGCCTGAAAGATGTAAGGGTTTAGGTCGTGAAAAACGATGACCTCGAAATCCTAAGACAAGTTAAGGTTTATATTGTATAACAGGGCTATACGAAGGCCTAAAGATAAGGTGAGGATTTGCGTAGCACAAGAAAGCAACCTCGAAGTCCTAAGGCTTTGTTGCTTGTATAAAAGGAAGGAAGATTGTTTAGTTGAATAGTGCTTGGAGTAAATTTTAATGTTTTTGTGTTGGTGAATATTTGGGCTAGTAATTTTTTTCTATCTCATTTCTCATTCTTAGTTGATTCTTGCGTAAGGTAATGATTCTATCTTGGTCTTTTGTTGGACTTTATATCATTGGCTGAGGCTTAAACTTGAAGCTGAAATTTGTTTGTGTTTTGGTAGCTGCTGCTATTTATTGAAGCAATCTCTCTGTCGGAGCTGATCTTTGGGATTGTCTATTTTTAAATCCTTCTAATGATTTTAGTCATGCTTCCTTGGATTGAGATTGTCCTGATGGATTGATTTGGCTATTAGCAATCTTTTTTTGAGAATGCTATGGTTGTTTGAGACGATTCTTTGGATTGAGGCTGCCCTGCTGGATGGATTTGGTTATTGGCAATTTACTTTTGTGGTAAGTGTTGCTGTTATTTAGTTAGTAAATTGATTTTTAGCTTATCATGCTTTGTCTATATTTTGTAAATTTTATCTTGGTTGATTTTAATTTTGTTTTTTTTGTTTTATTTTTGTGGCTATCTTAATAGTTTTAGTTTTCATGCAGGGTGGCATCGTTGTTTAGCATACAAATTTGCAGGTCAAATTTGCAGGTATAAAAGTGTAAAAGTGCAGTATGAAAGCACAAGAAAGACAACACTGAAAACTGTAAAAGCGTACTTGGCGAGTCTTCTCGTTTCACCATCTGAAACTTGAAAGGCATGTTAAGGCAGTTTATATGAAACAAGGGAAGTAAAATTTTGACAACCTATCCAACCCTAGGTCACATCTTGGTGGGTCCTTATTAATTTGATTAAGGATGATATTTGTCAAGCAAAACATATTAAGCTTAGAAGCTCTCTAAGGTATCCAATAAGTTAAGAGGAAGAAGCAGGTCCATGCTTCCCTCTTATCACCTGGTGAAAAGCCTCGAGCTCAGTTGAAATTATTATGTTGCTTAATAATTCATCCTATAAACACCCTAATGCTCAATGAACATTGATGTATCAATTATCTCTAAGAGTAAGGTAATTATCATATCAAATTTAATGTTGAATATTATGTGGGTGAAGACCCTTAAAAAGGCAAGTTAGTGTTATTAGAACATTTAGCCAAATTTTCGTCCTAATTGGGCTTGTAGTGTTTCAAATATGTTTTAATTTTAAATGATATTTACTTTTCTAATCCTTATTTAAATGAAACTTGATTTAACCTAAGTCATTACTAAGCCCTTAAGACCTAGAAGAATGTCTTATCTAGCTTTGAAAAGATTAAGCTTTTGGTGGTCATAATTCAAGATTTGAATTTTATTTCAAAATAAAAATAGGGGTAATAAATTGATTAATTATTGACTTCAAAAGTCATACCCATAAGTCCTGGGTTCATTTTATTTTAATTAACTTCCAAATTTTAATAATTTAGAAATTTATTAACTTATCTTTTCAATTAAGAAAGTGAGGTTGGTTTCTACCAATTAACCTTTTGTGTTTCAAACATCCAAATAAACTGATTAAGATCGAAGGTTGCCCATTTCCCTCATTGAATTAAGCTTAAATATTAATTAAGGCTAAATTTCCAAAATTACACATTTGCCCTTAAGGTTCTAACACTTCATAATTTGTCAAATTCAATTCAAATGACTTTGAAAATTTTATCCTTCCTCATTCATGGGTCAATTAAGACATCAGAGGAGAAAAAGTGATTTTTGAAATTTTTATTTAATTTATATTTATATTTTCATGCAAAAGTAAGATTTTTCAAAGAAAACTCCTAACTTCACCAAGGT